CTCTCCTCTGTGTCTCGTCGAGCTACTGTGTAATATATATATATATATATATATATATATATATATATATATATATTAACTATAGAGAATATAAAATTTGTCATTATTGTTTTGTGATTAAAACCATATTTTAAGATGCATATTTCTTTTATTGAGCTATTTTAGTTGGTATTGTACGACCAATAGTTGATCTCTCCTTGTTTTATTTTCTTTAGGTACACACCTACCCACCTTACCCAGGTAGTCAAGGGAATCAACAGTCAGCTGTTGGTTTTAATGTAAACAATGTAGAAGGTTATCCTCCTCCAGTAGGGGGAGCTTATCCTCCAACATCAGGAGGTTATCCTCCAATACCTGGTGGAGCCTATCCATCTCAAGGAGGAGGATATCCCCCATATTCAACAGGGGAAAGTTATCCACCACCCTCTGGAGGAGGCTATCCTCCTTCAACTGGTGGTAGTTATCCCCCTCCTCCTGCTGGTGCAGGCTACCCTCCACCAACAGGAGGAAGCTACCCTCCACCTTCTGGTGCAGGCTACCCTCCACCAACAGGAGGAAGCTATCCTCCACCTTCTGGTGCAGGCTACCCTCCACCAACAGGAGGAAGCTATCCTCCACCATCTGGTGCAGGCTACCCTCCTCCAACTTCAGGCTATGGAAGTGGTTACTCACAAGGTCAAAATCCACCAGTTAACTTGAGTAGTTTCACTACACACTATCCAGGCCAACCTACAGGAGTAAGTTATTTTATTATATTTTGTGTATCTTATGTTGTTCTAGGCCTAGAGCATATAATTTGTATTATTTCAAGTTCTTGACAATATACAAAAATATTTTATATATTTTTTTCTTAAGGTTAAAAAACAAATTTTGACCACTAACAGTAAAAACTTGAGTGAAAGTAAAGAATAATATAATATGCCAACCACACTATCTGCTGTATCCTGTGCCAAAGAGGTCTTTTGTTCAGTACCAGGGCTCGTCAGGCTGGCTGGGATATGTCAGTCATAGTAATGATCAAGATGATCTTTAAATCTTCATTATTTGAACATCAACTCTTTCAGTGTGTTGGTTACTCAGGCGTATATGAAACTTATGAGGAATACTTTGTTCATAGTTGATATACAAATGCAATAATGACAAAAATTTCAATATGATAATGACTTTTAATTTTTTTGTGATAAACTTGTATGGTATGTACTCTTTTTCACCTCTGACCATCAAACTATTTATTTTTAGAAAAATCTTTAATGTCAAGTTTATGTTTGATCAATGTTCTCAAGTTATGAAGATTGTCCAAGAAAAAGGAAGATGGCACTGGGTGTAGTATTGATAGCAGTTATCCATTTATGTAACAGACAACTCAATCAGGAATAAATATAGGGATTTTGTACACCACCAAAATGTCTCATCTGAAAAACATTGACCATTTCAATTTCAAAAATTGCCTTACTGTTTGTACTATTGAGGTTGATTCCATTAAAATCTTGGGATAGATTAAGAGAATATGACTTCTCATATCAAATTATCAAATATTATAAGTATTGGAGCTTTAATATATTTTATTAATTGTAATTTTTAGTGAAAGATGAAAATGTTTGTTAAAAACTGATGGAGTAATCAATGTCATTTATAATAAAACCATGCATTAGTACTAGGTAGTTTCTATAACTTAGTTTTAACCCGTTACTTGCCATGGCCATTTTGTCCTATTGTGAGGGCAAAATCACATTTGGGAATTGAAAAAATGATAGAGATCTTATCTTTTATTGGATTTCAGATTTTATTTTTGTAAATAGTAGCATAACATTCAATTATTTGTACAAAATTGTATTATTTAATGTAGTTTAAAGAGGAATTTAATGAAAAAATTCCTAAATAGGTTTCAGACTGTAAATAAGCGCCCTCTAAGAAGAAAATTTGTTTTAAAAATTTGTTTAAGATATTTCCTTCCACTTCAGCACTGGTCCTGCCATCTATGATTGGTATCTAAACCTTTTTCTAGTCTGTTTTCTTTATAAAACTGCATCTGGGCGTGTTAGACCTCAGTTGTAAAATTTTTAGCCAGTCCTAGTCGAAGGTGTCAATTTCAGTACTATG